GCGAAGAGAATCACTGTTATCACTAACGACAGGGCCTACACTATCCTGGTTTTCATCTCTGCCTGAGATGTTGAGGACTTTGCTGTGAACGATATACTGGTTGTCACCTCCGATATCCTTGAATCAAGTTGGTATTGTGCGTGTAGTGTGTACTGTATTTGAAGAAATTGTGTGTAGAAGGTGTGTGTTGTGTTTGGATACAAAAATGATGTTGGTAGTGTGTAGTGGATGTATTTGTGTATCGTTGAATGGTTGAAATGGAAGTTTTCCTTTACACTAAGAAACCTGGCCTGGCCGGGACCGGGTGAATTGATATTTGGACCATTTATGCATCAAACTTGACTCGGCCGATTTTGATGCAACCCATGTGAACTGGAAAGTTCATGTAGACTGGGGTGGGTAAGCTACTAAGCTACCTTCTAGAAAAGCCCAATGAGTTCTACCCCAAAAATCTCTATCGATGTCTCACTATCTCTACATTGTGCCTCTCACCATGATTTCACTTCGTCTTTCTCCACTCGCACCAAGTGGTCTGTGGTGCGTCGTCCATTTAGTGCTAGTCTGATTGTTAAATTTTAGCTCTATTTTCATTGGGTTTTCTTTTTTCTGTTTATGCCATATAATTTGTTCTCTTTGGCTAGATCTGCATTTGTAGTTGTTTATTTGAACAATTTTGAGGATTTTTGAGCAAAATCTTCTCTATTGGTCTCCATTCTTTATATCAAAGTTATTCTCTCCCCTGCTATGGTCTATGCAATCAGTGGTTGCTTGTTCTTTTTTTTGAAAACTGATAATTCCTATTCATAGAATAGGAACTTAGTTACAACTTACAATTGGATAATAAGAGAGATCTTAACTCACTAGGTGGGCAAGCACCCCAATTTGTAGGGAGATTGTGTCTTGTGTGATTTGCTGCTAACCAGTGTGCAGGTTTGTTAATAGATCTAGGGATGTGTTTGAAGGATAGGTTTGAGGTTTAAGCTTCTGGAAATAGCTCTGATATCTTCTACCACAGCTTCCACTTCCCAAGGGGGCACAACTCAGTTGAGCTCAACAGGATTATCTCTATGTTATCACCTTCCGCAGTTGCTTCTTTTGCCTGCAACAGCCATCAGACATGCTTCCCGGATTGCTAATGCTTCAGAGTGTAAGCTAGATAATGCCGGGATAGACCTTGTTCTTTCTTCCACTACCCCTTTATGATCTCTAATGAGGACCCCTACTAAAGCTGTATTTTTGTTTTGCTTTTAGGCTCCATCACAGTTGAATTTGAGTCTGTTTCTATTTGGAGGGCTTCAAACTTCTGTAATATTTGTTTGCTCTTGTGCATTGGAGCCCTGATTTTGAGGTGCCTCCAGTACCAATAGCTGGTCATTGCAAGCTCTTAGAGCTTCATAGATAACTGCATTTGGGTTGGGTTTTTTTTAACAGATTCGTGCTATATAGAAACATTGTAGAACAAAACTGAGCAGGAGAACAAACCAACTTATGGTCATTACTTTGTGTACAAAAGCAAGAGTCTGGCAACTTCCAATCTTGAATCAGAGTCTTATTGTAATTGAAAGGCATTGCCTTTGAGCTTCCGTGATGCAATTCTGTTATGGTTGTATTGACAATTTCTTTTTGAATTGTGTTTCATCTTTGAACTCATCCGTAAAAATGTTTTTGTTCATTTTGCTCCATAATGCACAAACTGCTATTATGTTTTTCCTCTACGTATAATGATAGTCATTTATTGCTACAATGAGGACACTGGTAAGATTTCGTGGCTAAGGCTTGATGTATGTGTTGCTATGCACATCCACATGAAAAAGAGTATGGGAATAAAAGGAGAAAGTAAATATTGTATTTAATAGAAATTAGAAATCTATAGGAACAAGATAGTGGACTATTGAAGAATTCTGCCCTTGAATAATTTATTTATGCTGTCAAAAAGCTAGCCCCCGTGTTATTTTTGATTTTGTGCTATATCATATGTATACTGTAATTAGTTATGAGGTCCCCTCTTTTACATTGCTAAATAAAATTTCTATTTGTTTTTTTTTTTCCATAGAATTTCTTGTGACCAATTTTGGTTACATGATTCTTATTGCAAGTTTACTGACTTCTTCTACAGAATGTAGTTATGTGATTATTATCGGATATTGTAGATAGTGTTTACGATTTGCTTCTCTGAGCTTAATCAAGAATATTGTTGTCTGCCTCTACAAGCTTCATTTTAACCTTTTGGTTCATTGGAAAAGGCAACATTGACTTAAAAACAAAATTATCAAACTATCGATTTGCATTATAAGATCCTACGATTCCACCCTCAAATATAGGCAAATCCGTTCGAATCTCTTGAAAATCTCAGTTCATGGAGTCTTAACCAACTGAGACGTGGATCTTGTAGGATCGTAGGATCCTCATCCCATTTATGATTTTATTGATCCAAGTTGTTTGATTTGTAGATTAGGCAACTTTAGTTATTCTCTTCTTGACATGTCCCAATCCTTATTTATTGCTTTAATAGCTACAGACTAGGCCCATAAGTTATTGTCCCATACTCTTATTAGTCTATTAGGGAATTTCATCCGATGAGAAAGCCTACAAAAAAGATTTTTTCGTCATACAAAATGCTCATCATTCGTTTGTCTCCCTCGTTAGCCAACAGTTAAGTCTGTTCTCTTGTCTCTCGACTAGTGATCATAATTATGTCTTCCATTATTATTTCATCTTTTTTATTAGACTCAAATAGTCGGAGTTGTTAATTCAACAGTCTCTCTCTCGACCCAATCCCCCCTCTATCCCTATCTCTCTCTAAAATACTAAGACTAAATTACTAAAATTCTCCCATTACTCTTTATAAAATCCCATAATATTAACAATTCATCTTTGATTTTTAACGCTCTTCAATCCTCAGATTGTAGTTGCTCAAATTTTAATCATATCTCTAAGTTCGATATGTGTTAACTATATATGAGGTTTATTTTGTTTTGTTTTTCTTTTAAGAATTCAGGATTCATACATATATTTTTAGTCCCACGTTTCATTTCGTAGGATCATATGATTCTTTATCTAATCTTACGATCCTTTAGCCTCTCACATCCAAAGTAGGATCCTAATTTTGAAAACTTTGCTTAAAAACTAAGAATCATAATTGATTATCTATATCCAAATATGGAACTATACTTAATTATAATCCTACACAATTGTAGTTGCTTTGATGTTAATACTTAAAAGTCTAATAAATTTAGTTGTACTCCTCACTTAACATATATGCATGTTGCCTTTTCTTCAAGTACTACCTAAACAAATAATTAACATGTGGCTGATTAGTTATGTTCTTTATAAATAATCAATAACTAAGATGGAAAATGCTCCTATCTTGCTTTAATTTTGTTGTTTTATTTTTTTTTCAAAGGGATAGTAGAATCGAATTCCATATCAAGATTGACTATCCTGATGAGCAAGGGCACAAACAAATTTTGGACGTTTACACAAAGAAATGAAAACAAGCTTCTGTCAAGATGTTGATCTGCAAAGAAATTGGTATGTCATAAGTTAGAAATTTTGTTGTACAAATCCTTGTTCACTAATGAAAATTGTCCATCATTGATCAATATATATAACACCTCTGTTCCTCATACAGCTTGCAGGACCAGTGGATATGGTGGTGCTGCACTGCACTAACATGACTTGTCACACATTCACACTCATATGCTAATGCTGAACTTTTGGACCTAGATTCAATGGGCATATGGGATAAAATGTCAAATTGAATATGAATCATTTTCTCCGTGCTTTAGAAGATAGCAAACTCAAACCCTAGGAGTCTAAACAACTCAGGTGAAGCACTTTAGATATAGTTTCTTATAGCTAAACAATCATCCATATTGCAATCGTCTTGTACCAACTTTACATGAAATTTTCAACGAGATAACTTTTAATTTATTGACATCAGGCAGAACATATGTTACGTCTCTGGATATCATCTTGAATACACCAGTGGATTTTCATCTAGCAGCAAAATGCTTCAAAAGAACATGGATTTTCCATTGCATAGATGATAGATATCTTGGGCATAAAATTCTGCTCATCTGAGTTGGTTTTTCATGTATCAAACCCTGTGACTTTGGTACAGAGAATATGTCAAGTACCACACCTTTTTCACTGGTCTCCTAGTAAACCTTTGTTATCTCTGGTCCTACAACCAAATGAAACGTTCAAATACCACTTACTATTTCAATAATTTTGCAGCCCTAAAACAGGAACCAGGACACCAATTTTTGTCCACCCTCTTTAGCGCATCTCCAGGGACCACATTTACCAGCCTTCCCTTTTCCTGATGGCTTAATTTTTGCATGTTTGGGATGATAGTACTTTGCAATGAACTGGCCAAACTTTTTTCAAATTAATTGAGGCCTATGTTCAATTTGAACTTGTTTTCAGAAACAGGTGCTTTCTTAAATTTCTATTTTTAGCATTTCATTTCCCTCCTAGAATAACTGGTCCTTATAGCTTGTAAAACTAAAAGATCAAGGGAAAATGGATGACCTGATTGCAGGATGATTTTTTATTGCTTTCACTTAAAATATCCTTGTCTATTTATGGTCTTATTAGGTAAAATGGTTCCATTAGACCGAGGTTGAGTGGTTATGAGTCGGATTATCTTGCAGTTGAGGGAAAAACATGCTTGCTGAACTTAAATTAATTTGCTTGTCTAGGTATAAGTGCCATTTATTAGTCTACAGCAACTTCACAGCTCAATTATTCTCCTACTTAGGTCAAATAAAGAAAACGGATTCTGCTTGGGAAAGGACGATTGAGAATATAATTGTTCAGAGTTCAATTACTAGAGAAGGGTAAAACTTTTTATTTGAAGTTCAGATGTGATGCAAGCAAAATCCTTTAGTTGCTTAGTTCCTCCTTCTTGTGGTACCCCATAAACACTAGGATAAGAATTTAGAAAGGTAAAGAACTGAGATGGATTATTTCTTGGGTTCCTGATCCGGATAGGGTTAGAAGAATTTGTAGGGACAATGATGGGAAAGAGCGTTTGCCTTGCCGGAAATTACTTGCTCTTCTTTTTCTGGCTCAAACTGTGCAAAGTCAATATCATATTTTTCTAATGGATGCTGAGGGAGATTGTTCCAGCTACATTCTTGGCTTCTAGCCATCATCCAATCTTTTTGGTTTTGCAGTGTTGAGCATTTGATTTGTGATATTTTTGCGAAGACCTTGTTGAGGTTTTTTCCCGTAATTTGATGTGAATAGGTATTTACTTGGTGCTTAGTTGATATTTTCTGTGTGTGAATTAATCTTGATATCATGAGTGGCTCAGCTAAAACTTGAGACGAGTTACACATCATCATAAGGGATTTTTTGGTAAGTGCACAACATTTTTAAGTTATATTCTTGTTGTGAGGCAAATCTGGGTAAATAGAATTAGATGCCTCTACCAATAGTTATACATAAATTCAGATCGAACCATCTGAACCTTTTTCTTTTTTGTTCATACATTTATTCCACAAACTGAACTTGCATATCTGCGTCAGATAACTGCATGCATTAGCTTCATTTCGGGAGAAATCCCTTAATTTTTTTTTGGAAAAGGTGATAGTTGTTCTACTTTTCATCCTGACCAGTTTTTTCTTCTTCTTCTTATCTAAATTTCAGGATGGAGGAAGAACGAACTGTAAGAACTTCTTGTTTCTTATTTTAAATTAGTAAAGGGTCTTTGAAAAAGTGTCTATTGTTTCACCTATATGTATATATTTTTGTTTTGCAGCAGCAGTGGAGCTCCACTGATACACCAAAATTTCTGAAAGTTTCTTGCTCGTCTTTTCAAGAGGATAAGGCCAAATTTGAGAGAAAAATGTAAGTTCTTACTAATTACAGTTACATTCATCTTTTATAATTGCTTCTTAATTGTGGGTTCAACATTCAATCCTGTCATTATAGGAGACAGTTCTAAGAGAGGTTCTCTTATGAAGAGGATAAGGCCAAATTTGAGATGAAATTCGTAAGTTCATACTAATTACAATCATCTCTCATAATTGCTTCTTAACCGATTGAGCTTAAACATTTAATCATTTCATTATAGGAGATGCTTCTGAAGGACAAGACCGAATTTGAGATGAAAATTGAAAGTTCTTAGTAATAAGTTGGTCGCTCATAATTGCCTCACAACTGAGGCTTTTAACATTCAAATATGTCATTACCGGAGTCACTTCTGAAAAAGGTCCTCTCTTATGAACCACACAATGCCAACTTCGAGATGAAAATTGTAAGTTCTCACTAATTAAGACGATCTTTTGTAATTGCCTCGTAATCGAGGTTGTAACCTTTAATCATGTCATTACAGGAGGCACATATATAGGCTGCCCTCTCTTCTTGGGAAAAGGATAAGGCCGTACTTGAGGAGAAAATTTCAAGTCTTCACTAATTACTATCATCTCTCAGAACTGTTTCTGAACCGAGCCTCCAACATTTAATTGTGTCTTTACAGGAGGCACTTGGTGCTGCTGTCGAATGTGTTAAGCAGGGACTTGGAAAGTTCAATTGATTGTAGAAATGGGGACTTTTGAACAACTGAGCTGTCAATTGGATTCTCTTTCGTCTGAGCATGAGGCTTGTTTTTTTTTGCTTGTATGCCATAGTCTGCAACTCGTGTCACATAACTTTATCAACACATATCTATAAACTTGAATTGGTGGTTGATAATTCTAAGCATCCACACGCATTTGTAAACTCGACAAACAAGATTGAATTTACAAGCATTGCATTGGTATTAGAAGGTCCTTTTAGTTGTCATTTCATTGGAAATGTGTCCAATTTTCTAAACCCTGCCATTATTTGTAGGCAAGTGCTTGTGCAATGTGTCTGAAATCTGGGTTGAGCTCGGTGTTCTTACGAGTACTCGGGCTGCACTGTACTGAAGCCATGTGTTTGTGCTTTGGGCAAGCCCAGGGTCACCTTGGCCTAGCTCAGTGGGTCTCAGTGTAAATTTGATTTTAATGAATGCTTATATTGTATTTTGTTCAAGAGATTAGCAGGAGTTAGACCAAACGAGATTACCTGTGTAGGTATTCTTTCAGCTTGTACCAATGCTGGGATGATTGATAGGGCATTGGCTTATTTTGAGATGATGAAAAAGGGATACAGAATCAAGCCAGTGATTGACCATCATTCGTCTCTGGTTGATATGTTCATTGGGTTAGGCCTATTAGATGTAGCTTTTGATTTTATCAAGAAGATGAATTTTGAGATCAATATGTTTAGGAGCAACCCTCATTGCAGGTTGTTGGAATTGTGGAATTTAAGAGATAGGGTGGTATGCCGATGAACAATTACTTGGTTTTTATGCCAAAAGATTATGAGACTTATGTATTGTTGTTAAACATGTACCACTCGATGGGGAGAGGACAGGATTTTTTTTAGGGTTAGAAAGATTACGAGAGGAAAAACTAGAAAAATTACAGGATGCGGTTTATTCATTTAAGTGTGATGAACGGTTTCATCAACAATGCAAAAGGGTGGACAAATGATTGGGGGATTTGCTTGAGAAAGCAAGGACTCTTGGATATGAACCACAAGGAAGTTTAGAGATAATGGATGAGGAGAATGTATAAATCTTTTTATCCACTGTTCATCATAGTGAAAAATTGGCTCTTGCGTTTGGGTTGTTGAACACTCTAAATGCTACCCCTATACGGGTTATTAAGAGTATTAGCAAGTGTAGAGATTGTCATACTTTTATAAAATTCATCTTTGTGTTAATTGAAAGGGAAATCATCATTCCAGATAGCAAGTGCCTGCACAAATTTGTCAATGACTAATGTTTGACAGTCTTCTTTGATATTATTTGAACCTAAGCTATGAGCCGGCTAATTCGTAATGTGGTAATCCTTTCACCTTTTAAGTGGCCATGAAATTTTGTTGTATGTAATTTTTTGATGTTTTGAAATTTTTTTATTCTCTGCAATAAGCCATGTCAATGGCCATGAAGTCACTATTATCAAAAATACGTAAGGTGGAGTCTAGTTTTTGCAGTCAATTTGCATTGATTTATATTTAGCTTTCCTGACTGCTCAAGATAACATTTTATTTGTACATTTATGGGTTTGATACCTTTATACTCAGTTGAATAATGTTTGCACGGACTAAAGTAGTATTTAGAATGACTATGAAATTCAAAAAATATTTCGTAACAAAGTAAAAATGATATATGGTAGTGGTGGCAGCAACAGTGGTGGTGATGTGATGATAGTGTTGGCGTTTTATGCATAAGTGTTTTCAAGGATGTAAATTTTTTCTATTTTCTACTTATGAACTTTAAACTCTAGTTTTTTAAAGTTATCCTAAACACCATCTAAATTTTGAATAAAATAGATCTACATTTCTATTTTGTATGAATGTGGATAATGTAACTGACTGAAAGCTTGGGAACAGTTATGTTTTTGCCCTATGATATATATAAATTAAGAGTAACTAATATCTTAAGACACGGTGTAACGTAAGTGAGAAGTGATCGATTTGGAAGGAGAATTTAATGTAATTGGTTTTAAGAGGAATGTTGGTGGTTGTTAGATTATTCTATTTAAGACTGTTGAATGGATTTATTGAAACTTCCCCTATTTTATATTATAGAAATTATATTATAGATAGACAATGTTTCCATATATATATATCTTGTTTTACTTCCTAAAGAGAGTTATGGATATGGTTTGTCTAAACTTCTGATAAAAGTAATAACTTTTACTTTAGAGCAACTCCAAAGGGAGTTGTCATATGGGGTGACATTCTCATTATCACTAAAATGTCACTCTAAATTTAAAAATTTGGATTCTGAAGGGGTGACATTAAGAGTTGTAAAATGACATCAAGGATTTGGGGGTAGCATATTTGACCGCTATGGAGAGAAAAAAGGAAAAGTTGTAAAATCACTGTTCAATCCCAACGACTTTATTCAACAAAAATTTTCTACAAATAAAGAGATTTTGAAAAGAAAACTTATCTGATTTTTGCTTTGATTTTTTTTCCATCATTGGAAGGAGGCATAGAGATGCAGAGACGTTTTGGGAATCGCAGAAAAAAAGGGTAGGAGGCTGGGGATCGCTTGCCGTTAAATCGCCTCCCGTTGTTGTTGTATGTTGTAGAGGGCGTACGGGAAGGGGAAATGGAAAGGGAAAAGGAAGCAAACGTTCTAGGAATGAGAAAGGGAAGGCATTGTAATTTATAATTACATCTACCATCTCTGTTCTTGTTTTAATTTATAATTTGTTTATAATTTATGACAGATTTATTTATTTTAATTAATGGTAATTTTATTTATTTATTAATTATTTATTTTATGGTCATTCTTTAATTTAAAATTTTTACTATAAAAATATATCTATTAAATTACAATTATTATGAAAACTATCCTCGTTAAAATATAACTATTAAGTTTAATTATATTTTTTAATAAAAAATATTAAAAGATTAAAATGACACCCTATTTTAACACTTATCATTAGAATAAATTTATAATTTAAGGGTGCCAAAATATTATTTAAGATTACAAATAATTGATATGACACTCAAAATGTCAACTCGACTCGGAGGTGCTCTTAGATGTCACCTTGCATATTGGTCTCTCCGTGTAAATGGTCAGAAATGATGTGTTTAAGTTGACAACCCTTTGCTAACTTATCTGAAAAACTCGAATTCGTTTTGGAATTGACTCGATTTGACATATTTGTAATTATTTAGTTAGGACAAATTATATTTTATACCCTAAAATATTTAAGAATATTTATTTTGTATCTTCAAAGATTAAATTTTTTATATTACATCTTCAATGTATTAAAAATATTGTAATGTAACTCTTCCGTTAGTTTCAATAGAGCATTTTGACATAATAAAATAACAAAAGTTAACAAAAATAATATATTATAATATTTTTAATACATTAAAGAAGTAATGTAAAAAATCTCAAATGTTCTCCCACCTTTGGCAGTTACTATTTGTCGTTTAAACGACGGATGATGCAGTTTTAGGGGTCGTTTGTAAGATTTACTATTTAAGATTAAATTGATTTAGTAAGACCAACCCAAACATATGAAATTATGTTTTTGAGATAATAACAATTTGGTATATTTAACCCAAAGAGTTAGCTCAAGTGATAGCAAATCACTTGATAGATGTTTTAAGTTTACATTAGTGAAAGATTCGATACTTCAAATGGTCAAAATATTTTTTGGATTCATCTCTCTAAGATGAGTAATGTTAGATGAACTTAAAAAATACATTTAAAAATTAGACTTGATAATCTCAACCATTGAACAGATAGTTGGTTCCAATAAATATTGGGACTCATATTAAAATCAATAATTTTAATTATCAAATCGAATTTTTAAATCTATTTTTTAAATCTATGTAAAATTGTTCCTCCAAAATTTAACTCCGCACTTGGAGATGAGATTTTGCACGTAGGCCTAGGTTAACAATCAGCCACGGGTTCAAATAAGCTTAGTCGGTGGGAGTTCTTTAGTTATCCAAAAAAAATGAAAAATAATAATAATATGATATATTTTTATTCTGTCCTATTTTGGGGATGATTAGATAGGAGCAGCAGAAATATGTCAGTGTTTTAATGTGACATTAAATCAAATGTCGTTTTTAACAATATTCCATTGTGTCCAATAAATCGTCTGATTTGATGCATCATTGCATTAGTAATTAGTAATTATAATTTTGGTAAGTTGTATAAATATATTAGGGCTCACTGATTCATGTCAAATAATGTAAAAGAATTATTATTTTTTGTTGAGTAATGCTATATAATTTATATCTGAAACCCTAATTTGTATTCTAAATAAAGGAAAATTATTGGGACCTATTCATGCAATGGTCCCCTTTTATTTGAGATGAAAATTTAAGTTATAAATTTGAGTTATATTGTATTTTCCTTTTTTGTTACTCAATTAACTAAAATGTCTATTATCAAGTGAATAAAAAAATAAATTGTTGGGTAAAGTAATATTTTTATCTACAAATTCAATCTCTCACATTGGAAACATTCCCCAATGAATTTCATCAAATCACAATTTGTGAGTTTTAATCCAGTGTTTGTTAGTACGCTGGGTTATAAATCTTGAGTCTCAAATCTTAAAACAAACAGATTTAGAATATACATTAGACTATTTTTCATAAAACTCATCCTCTAAAATTCATCCAAACCCATGTATCAATCAGACCCTTGAGGTTCTGGTGCATGGCACATGAAAGAGTTGATGTGGGTCTTTGTGAAATTTCCTTCGAAAATGATAGAAGTGGACCATATAGTCAAAGCTAATAGCTTTGGGATATCCATATTGTGTGAAGTATAGTTAATGCAATTAAAAAAGGAGGTCGATGGTCTCCCTATGAGGTGCGATGGGGCCTTTTAAACTAAAACGTATGAAGGCTGCAATTGGGTCATTCGAAGAAAAGTGGGTACCTATTGGATGGAATTGCAAAGATTATCCCGGTGTCAAGTGTGTTTTCAAAGGCGGCAGCAGTCCGGCAAGCGTGTCTGCTTTATTTCTCACGCCAGTTGGAAAATGGCTCCACTGAGATCGATAACTTGGAGGCCGTTAAGTTGAGCTTGAATGAGAATTCTCTCCCATGGGGGATGTCTTCATAAAAAACGATAGGTATTATGCTAGATTACTAAATATTAAATTTTTTTACAAGTTTAGGGTTAAGAATATTATTGTTCACTGAGTTGCAGCGTCAGTTATAAACAACTCACTATCATTGAGTTGGATTAGTTGCCCCTCACTAGAGCTACAGGCTTTTATCGGCCCAGATTATAATTATGTTTCTCCTTTTTGAATGAATATATTACTTTGGTTGATCAAAAAAAAAAAAAAGTATACTTCTATCTATATGCGATTCTCGGTTTATACTTGTAGTTTGAGTTTCTTCCCCTAAGCAGTAGTCGGTCACCCTCTCCCTACTTTTTTTCTACTCTATTTTTCAGGCCTCGAAGAGTCACCGACGAGGGACTTTTTTTCTTCAACTATGGTGGATCTCTAATTTAAATTTTATAATTGATCACTCAATCAATTGTGAATTCACATTTATAAGATATAATTTGAATTTCAAAAATATTAACTTGATTTTTGAAAATTAATGATAATATTTAAAAATCGATCCTAAGATTTGTAGCCATAACTTATTGCACCAAAAAATATAAATTATATAACAAAAAATTTTAATTTTCAATACTATACTTCTGTCCGTGCAGTTGTTGAAAGTACTATCAAAATTTTATAAAATATTATTTAGACATTTTTTTAGTAGTACATAATTCACTTCCTTTTAGTATATTATTTTGAATACTTAAAGAAATGAAAATAAAAAAAAAAGTGATTTTTTTCTGAAATATTTAAATGAAACATCTCAAAATATTTTAAAATATTCCTCATAACACATTAAAATAATTCAGTTTAATTTACATAAAAATAAAAATATTTCGACCGCTACTATTAAAAGTTCCTGCCTGCACTGCATTTTAATGCCAAAAATAGAACTTTTTGTCAAGAAGAGACGGTTTTTTTTTGCTTTCAGACGTGGCCTTCTACTTTATTGTCGTTTAAAGTTGAACAACACCACAGTTCAAAGAACAAACAAAACGCTGACACGACGTTACCAAAAATAAACAAAGAAAAAAGGTTGACAACGGCGAAGTCCGTGTTCCCTCTGTTATAATTTCAAGGGTTAATTTCTTTTTACTTCTTTATAATTTCGACTAAAAATATTTTATCAAATTGACTTTTAAAATTATTCATATTATCTCCTTGTACTTATGTACTAAAATAAAATGATTATTTTTATCATTCTAGTTAATATAGAGTATGTTCCACGTACTCAAAATATGTTGTAGATTATGTTTCCATTATTTTTCTCTAACAAAACATTGTCTAAGTGTTTAGAATACCCTTTATAATATATGATATAATACTAAAATATGTAGGCCATCGGTCCCAAATAAAAAAATATGTAAGAAAAATATAAGTAATTTTTAACCTCGGATCAAAACCTCACTTGAGAGAAAAAGAGATTCGACATGTTGTTTGATTAAAATGTGTTGATTTGTTGTTATATTCCATTAATTTTATGATCAAGAGTAAATTAGACAAAAAATTTGATATTAAAATGTGGGTATTATGATAATTTTTAGTTCCGTTAACGGCGTTAATTACTTCACTTTGATACATAATTATAAGAGAGTAATATACATAATTTTAAATGTCAAGTAGGTAAAATACTTATAGCCAAACCACAGGAAATAAAAAATAATTAACAATAATTTCAATGATTTGTTTTGGCAAGCCCTGTTTTAATTAGCTCTCACCTAGGACTTGCATACCAGTATGCTACCACTTCTGTCCCCTTGCCCATTAATATTTTATTTTTTAGGATTTAAGCTTGATTAGTTTTCAATTTTCTTTTTCTCAAATTAATCATTTGGAAGATGGAGACGCGAGGACGAAAGAAAATCAGATAAAGAAAATTGTTTTTCACTATTTTGTTTAGAAGGAAAATAGGAAGTAGAGAAAAATTAGAAAGATACATTTTTTGCTCCTCCAATAAAAATTTGTCCATCCCATTTTGGGTGGAAAATAAATGGAAAGAAATAACCGACGCAAATAGAAGATCAAATTCACTGATTAACCCTTCAGGATGTAAGACTAAAATAATAACAATAGTTGTAAGATTTAACTGAGTGTGACCGATTATTGTTAAATTGTAGGACAATTCCGATATTTTAACTTACCAGGCTGGGTCCCTGTCTTTGCACGACAAATTCCTACCTATTGTTAATGCTTTGGTCATCTTGGGATTAAGCTTGCGTGGGCTCTATTACAGTTGTCCAAAGAAACAAATAAATCTACCATCAAAATCTAATGTACAAAGCAATCTGCTTCCACGAAATGATAACGGGGGCAAGATGCGTTTTGTTGACGTGTTCAACTAGATAGGCTCGGCTCATGTGTGCATACGAATAGAGAATTAGTTGATGAGCTGTTACGCTCGCGTCTACTCTATTGCACTTTATAATCTTTCGTGTGGTTGGTGTGGTTTTTTCATGAAACAATCAATTTATAATGAGGGAGTTTGAATAATATTCACTCTTATTTTGTTAATTTTTAAGAATTTTAAATTATTAAAATTTTCATTCTCCAATTATATTTTAGCAAATGTCTTCCATAATTTACACATATTTAATCAACTCTAGCCATTAGATTTGAAATAAGTTTTATTAAATATGGGAACTTATAATAAAATCAATGGAACAATGTTATATATATATATATATAATTAAATTAGGTGGGAGGAGGCTTGAGAAGATTCCCTCCCGCTTTCAATTTTTCTTAGAATTTAGAATTTTTTAATTCAAAACTTAAGATTTTACAAATTTGGTTCATAAATGTATGAATCTGTTAAGTTCGTTAAATTAATGGATCAACTCTTACGACACGAATCCAATAAAAATTACTCATATACAGTACGAGTTTAGTTATACAGAATTATAATTGGTTGACAATGACGGATTAAACAAATTCTAACACGAGACAATGTATTGTCAACCTCAAATCTTAGTGTAATTTAGCCTTTTTTATTTGTAAATTTTCGATGTTGGTTTCATCATCTAAAGTTTTGATTTTGGAATGGATGGGGTGCATCTTGTAGTCGATCCCTAGGAAACCAAAAGGAAGCTTTCATACTCATACGAAGAACAACAGGTACATATGTTTGCAAACTATAATACAAAAAATGTTCATGTTATTCAAAGATCTATCTAATACTAGATAAAGAAAGCAAAAAAAAAAAAAAATCTTCTTATTATACCAATTAAATGTGTTTTGTACTAACATAATTTATTTCTTATTCGTGTTAGTGGGTTATATAATTTTTCAGGTCAGAATCGACAAGTAATTTATACTAATTCACTTAATTTTGTATCAAAAAATATCACTTCTAACTAACACGTGATATCACCAAAAAAATACTAAACAATCACTAATAAATCTCTTATAATCCAGCAAAAAATACATCTAGCTAATCTAATAATTGTCACGTGTGTATCTGTTGAGTTCATTCACTCATATGGTGATTTATTTTTAGATGATTATATATATATAATGTGATAATATACTGTAACCATTCTAATGCATATACACCCTAGCTGTAAGTGATATCTGAACCAGTACTGTCAACGTTGGATGACACGGTGCAAGCGCCGTGGGGTGAGTGAGCTGCCTCAAATCCAAATCTGTTGTACATTGACGAGCATACCGTTCAAAAAAGTTATGCAAAGGGGGAAAATGGAGAGAATGCAAGAGGTACATTTGTCCTTGAAATTTATATTATAAGAATAATTGAATAGATGGAGAGGGGTCCTGATCCCCTGCTACAAAGCCGTAAGAATGCTTTACTTTCCCTTGAAATTTATATTATAAAAATAATCAAATATATAACCAACTAGGGTAGTGCCGATGGCTAGGGCCTTTGACCTTTCCCTGAAAGGTCAGGGGTTCTAAGTTTCCTATTATTACTTGGCCCTCAGGATATCAAGTTAGAAGAAAAATACCACTTCATACCTATCATAGTATTAGCCAAAACACCACCCGAACACTATTCATTCGTGTCAGTGGGTCCAAGAAGAAAAAACCTCTTCATACCTATCATACTACTAGTCACTATTCATTCGTGTCAGTGGGTCCAAGAAGAGAAAACCTCTTCACACCTATTCCCCGAACACAAAAAGAAAGAAAAAGAGTCCCTATCAAGAATTTTCAAAAAGAGTCACTATCAAGAACCTATCATACTATTTGTGCGTGCTGAATCTTGCACAACATAAACAAGAGAAAAGATTTCTCCTTTGGTGAACTCGAGTGAGCCGGTCGAACGGTCAACCTTACTGCCTGGGAGGTCCGATGATAACCTGGAACGGTGATGATAGACCCTCGTGGATTGATGGAACGATCCGGGAAGACTGAGGAAGGTTCCTAGAACAAAGAAAGACAAGTTAGAAGGGCGCCAGAGTGTTTTTCGGCGTATCCCCTCCGACGATCAAGTCAATTTTTGAGAGAAAGAGGATGAAGAAAACACTGAATATAATTTGTAGTAAAGATTTTGCGTTGCATATCGTCTTTCCTTTTGCAAAGAGTATTTATACCTCATTTGCTCATGATTACTGTCAGTGTGGTCAGTAGGTGATCATTAGATACAGGCAACGTGCGCACTGATTCCTACGAGTAATGTTTTCTCTATTAATTGCTCGGGACCCCGAGCGATCAAGGTTGTGTCATCGGTACGCCGACTGTCTAATGAGCTCCTCTCGGGGTGGATGCAATAAATGCCCCGTCTTAGAGACATTTATTGTCTTTCACTTCCGAGCCTTACCGCATTGAATGCAGTCTCATTAAGGGAATGATGTAATTAAACCTTTGCTTTCCCAAGTCGTGTGTCAGTAAGGACATGCGGTCTTTCTGTCTCTGATGTGACACAATGTACCACGCGTCCATTCTCGATTGGCTGTGGACCCATGCCTTCCTGTGCCTTCTGACACCAATTGCATAAGACTAGGTCATGATAACTAACTCAGCCTAGCCTAGGCTAGTGACCTGTACATCAGTAGCTCTGCAGGAGAAGAGACAGTCATCCTGGTCATTGGTACATATCGGCACGGAGGGGGGATTGGTACATATATGACCGAGTGATACGCGTCGATACGTAAATGTACTGGACGCCACTTGATCCCTATGACAAAATACCTCGGGAGAGAGGGATTTGTGAACCGATGTGTACATGGTCTCGGTAACAAGGATTAGTGACACCGAAGACACGTGTCTTCATCTTAGAGCGTTCCGAAAATATCTCATCAACTCCCACCAGCCTTTGATCTTCTGACACCAAATACACGTGTCTTCATCTTGAAGTATTTCGAAAATGTGTCATCACTATTGTCCAAAATATCACCTATCCCCCAAACAAAAAAAGAAAAAGAGTCCTTCGTACAAAAAGTCACTATCAAGAACCTATCATACTATTGCTCAAAACACCACCGGAACACCATTACTCAGAACAAAATAGAGTTCCTACCAAGAATCTTCGTACCTATCATACTATTGCTCAAAACACCACCCGAACACCATTACTCGTGTCGCTATACATTCAACACCCGCTTTAAATCACTCCCTCTACAAATTTTTTTTGAAGAATCCCCACCACCATTTTCTCTCTTTCTTGTTGTTTTGCATTGTTATATCATGGCTTGTTCAAAACCAATGAGAATGACCCTTCTGACTGATGATAGAGTGTGTACGAATTTTGCTCTCATGTCCGCAGCCGACATCCTTGAGTTTGCTGTCATGATACCAAGTGGGCGAATTTTGGGTAGACCCAAAAAACTGTATATGGCGATATTGAATGACACGTTGGTTGTCTCGATACGATATCCTTTTAATAGTTTTTTTTTTATCACTTCATGATGGATTGTTTCTTCTCTTTTACCTTTGAATTCTCTCTGATCTAACTCATTAAGAACCCATTTACGATAGAGGGAGGGATGGAGTGAGTAAAGATTAGTGGGATGCAGAGACGAAGAAGATTGGTGGCCAGAGAATGTTGTGTTTCAGTTTTCTGGATAGCGGAGAATTTTTTTTTCATGTTTGAGGGGTTGTTGCAGTGGACCTTTATTTTTTTTTGGAATAAATTAGTGTTTTTTTCTTTACTTTTGAGAAAACTCTCTTTTGTCAACTGTTGATCTTGACCAAGAAAATACAGAGGACGAGGGCATCGAAAGGGGCCAACTTGGCCTAAACGCTGAGTGCAGTAAATTTTTTGGTATTTCAGCCGGAGATGAGGTTAACATAAAAGTGTAAGTATTTTCAGTAATTATGGATGCTGTGTTGATAAATGTAATTTGTTTGAGGATTTTATGTTATCATATATATATGTTGATTTCTTTTTTTAGGTTTGTTCCACCGTCAAAGGGGCTTGATTTGTCACTCTTGAGGATTGAGGTGGATTTACTGGATGGAAGTTCCACTCATCAACCGGTTCTAGCTTCCAATTTTGTGAGAGAATTTGTGAAAACATTTAACAAGCAGGTGATTTTTTTTTTCAATTTGTTATCTGTTTGCTTCAGCTACATCTATCTAATTTGTCTTTAATATAATTGTATCAAGGTGTAGATTTTTACTGAAATTCAAAGCATCTTATTGAGATATGGCGGCAATATCTATCACTGCACGGTTGCTGATGCTTCTGTTGCTGAGGATAAACATTCCCCTGCCCCAAAGCGAGGGATGCTCCGCAAGTCAACAGAAGTGATTGTGGAGGTTTCTAGTTCTATGGTATACTCACATAACCTGGATATGTCTTGCTCTGTTATATATGTGCAATTCACTTGAGTACATGGTACTTGATACCATATGAAAACAGTGCAAGTCAAATAAATGGGAGGGATTTAGGAGGAAGTGGGACTTCATTTGTGATTTGTCAAAAAGGTACACACTATAATTTGTGAAAAAAATAAGAGTAAAATATATATGGATCCCCTGACATTTGGCTTTATTACACAGACATCCCTCACATTTCAAAAATTACACTGAGACCCCAATAGATAGACGTTGTTAACGGTATTAACAAAAAGACTATTTTACCCTACATATAATTAATTAAAAATTAAAAAAATCAAACACATTATCCACATCTCTCTCTCTACCACAACACTCAGTGGCGCAACACTAGCCCCCCATCACCCACACTCTTTCTCCATTCTTACCACTATCCACTATCAACCTTGTCGGAAATCCAAACGCAATAGCGAATCCAACAACCATCTATTTAATTAATTAAAAATTAGAAAAATCAAACCCATTACCCAAATATCTCTCTCTCTCTCTTTGTGTGAGAAACTTGACACCCAGTAACGCAGCACCCACCACCCCACTCTTCCCCCCACTGTTACCAATATCCACTACTAACGCTACTGGAAATCCAAACGCAATAGCGAATCCAACAACCAACACCTCCAACACCAAAGAGACCCACCCACAATCGATATCACCGTTTCTCCCAAACTGAAATCCATCGCGGATCTGATTCTACACACACTAGGTTTTATTGTAGATCTAAAATTGAATCAACACCTATACACAACATATCTGGGATCAGATCCCATGTCTAATTCCTTTGCTTGAGCAGAGTTGAGGATTGATTGATGATCGAAGACTTGGAGTTTTTAGATCTAGGGTTGGTGGTGAGCTAGGTGTTTGATTAATTCTTCTTCGTGGGTTTTGCATAGAGTTGCACTGGTTGAAAGGGTTGCGACTTTGTTAGACTACGTGGGGAAAGGGATAGAGTGAATGTAGGCAAGGCTGGGGGCTTTGGTTAAGTGGAAGCTACAGATTTTGCAAAAGAGTTGGCTGTGGAATCTAATCTTTGGGAAGGGTGGTTGTAGGTTCGGCTAGAGGTCTAGGTATTGGGTTGCGATGGCGTTGAAGGAGAAAGAGAGAGAAAATGATGATTTGGTGGTGGTTAGTGTCTGGATGGTTTCCAAAACTCACCGTAGTGGTGGCGATGGTGTTGGATAAATTATAAGTATTTATCTAATTAAATTGTATGAAAAAATATTTAGATTAACTTCATTCTAACGTGTATATTTGTGTTTTCAAATATTATTTATTTGTTTAGTAGAGAGTATGACATGCCAGAACGGTATTTAGGGTATTATATCAAATTTTGTTGACGATGTCATCTTATTTCGTTATTTATTTGACGTCCGTTAGACAGAAGGGGTGTGACCGTTACACACCTTGAAATATCAAGGGGTTTCAGTGTAGTTTTTTGAAATATGAGGGAATGTCTGTATAATAAAGTCAAATGTCAGAGAATCTAAGTATAATTTACTCAAAAAATAATCACACGTCCCCTGTTTTGCACTGAGGGGGTCTTACCATTAGCCTTCCTGTTTTGCGAGGATTTCACTTGCTATGACTTCTATAATTTACAGATGTTCTAATGCGAACCATTAAACGAATTCAAGAACCCACGAACAAATTGATTGAAGACTCCTCAAGAAAATTCACAAACTAGATTATAAGAACTAAGAACCCTAGACTCAATATTTTCAAGAAACAAGAACTCAAGGTTAAAAGTTCAAGAGAAAGACGCCACACATAGGATTGAGTGATAAGTCAATGAATGCCACAAGAAAAATTAATTCTTGATAAGTTCTTGGAATAGTTCTTGAAAGAACAATAAAGTAGAAACCTCACAAAACTCATAAAAAAAAATATTCTATCCTTTTTTCTAGGTCTTATATGTGTATATAAAACCTTAAAACTAATTCTAGTCTAAATAGGAATAATTAAAGTTGGGCTTAAAACAAGTAATCAGCCCAAAATCCTTAAATAACCTAAATAAGCTCATACAGCTACTTAATCAGGTTTGTTTGAATTGAATTATATTAAAATAAACTTGAGGCATTTTTCCCTTAAAGCCCACGCATGCCACGATAGAAAAGCCTACAGATGCACTCTTCATGCTTGAACTTGCACAATCAGTCCATATGTCTTGAATCAGCCCGTTCAATGCTTTCTTCATCCTTTTCACTTTTGCCCGAGTCATAAGAGTTCCATTTATGCTCAACGGATCAGATTGCATTGCATCATGTTCGTAGTTACATTAAGGATTTATTTGATTTATCTATAATGCACGTCACAAAGAAATAGAAATGGGATGCTTTCAACGTCCTTTTATTGAGCTCCGATCATTCATTGTATATTCCAATGTTAGAAATTGTATGGGCAGTTCTAAATTCATCTTTGTGGCTAACGTGACCATAGCATAATGGCAAGGCCATATGCTATAAGGGTGGTTGTCTTAGATTTTATCTTACACCCTCACGAAAAATGAGAAAACGACAAACAAAATTTGAAGCTCGTTCATTTTCTTAGTAGTTACATAGAAGAGGGTTTTGGTGTCCCATCTTTTATGATCCTTTTAATTTTCCAAACCTTGCTATTTCTTTATTTCTCTGGTTCCCTTAAGTGAGCAACCAAACATGTGTGAACATAGAAGCTAAATATATAATTGATGTATCAGCCAGCCCAATGTAGACTCCCACTTAATATAGGGTCTGTGATTGACAAAATAGTATATTGAATTATATAGTTGAACTGATGAATTTTACATTTTGAGACAAAAAATAGTTCCTTTGATTGTTTAGCCAATGTAAACACTGCACCTATTTACATAGGATTTTTTTTATGTACATACCCTTTGTACGGTAAAAGTCTAGGTTCAAATTATGTAAAATGCGCAAAGGGATTTATTTTGGGTAAATGAAGCGAACAATGAATCATGCAATAACATTACGGTTCTATAATTTAGGTAGCGTTTGGTTACAGATAGTTTGTGTTTTTTATTTTATTTTTTTGCTAAAAAAATTAATAATATGTTTGAGATGTGTTTTTATTTTTTATTTTTTACTGTTCCGTTTAAAAATAAGGTCAAAATATAAAAACATCAAAAATAATACTTTTGAAAATATCAAAAAGAAAAAAACATGTGACTCAGTTAACGAAGTCTTATATTCGAATCTTGTTAACACTAAGGTGGCGTTTGCTAACCACCTGTTTTTGTGTTTTTTTTATTTTTTTTTGTTTTCATTTTATGATAAAAAAAATTATATATATATATTTGGTGAATATTTTTATTTTTATTTTTTCGTCTTAAAAACAAGGTTAAAACATAGACACATCAAAAAAAAAAAAAAAAAGACGCGTGCGTGGTCTTTTAATTAGGTCTCGGCTTCGATCGTTCTTAGAAAGCAAAAAAAAAAATTTTTTTGCTTTGGTATAAGAAAACCTCTCAATTTCACCCGTCTGTCGCTTCTCTCTCTCTCTCTCCCAACGATGAAGACGAAGCCCCAAGCCCAAGCCCTGGTGATATCCTTATCAAAGAATGGAGCTCCAGAACACAGTGAAAGAAGCCCTAAATCGATTTCGATTACCAGCAAGTTCTTCTCCAATTTCTTCTCTGCAGCACTACATGAGGACAGAGAAGTTTCGAAAATGGCCGATCAAATAGCGAGAGGAGAGGAATTGGAGAGGAAAGCAGAGAAGAAAAGCAGTCAATGCCTCTCGCCCCTTCGCGATTCCAATGCTGGTATGGTCCTTCACCACTCCAATCATTTTTCCAATCATCGTGGGTGTCATTTCCTACCCAACAAAAAACCCAAAATCAGAAAATAACAATTGAAGTAATTAATTGATAATAATTTCCACCTGTTGACAAAATTATAGATGATGAAATCAACCACCCAGCAAGTAGTATATGAAAAGAAAGGAAGACCATTACTCAATTTGGTAAATCTTTCTTTTCTTTTGCATTATTTTATTATTGATGCTTGAACGATGAAATTGGAACCTACAGTTAGGGTTTGTGCTTATTTGGATTCGATTATACTGATTATGAGGGTTTTAGCTTATTTATGGCGATTATATGATTTTAGGGTTTTGTGTTTGGCATTACTGGAAGGAGTGCTTGCTATGTGTGGTGAATTGAAAAATGACAATGAACGAGCATAAATCTTTGGCGGTGGGTTGTGGGTTTCGGTGGTAGGGTTGGGTGGTGGGGGTTGCGTGGTGAATTTTTGGTATAATCCCAAACAGATTTTTTATTTTTGTTTTCATAATTTTTTAAATATAAATTTGTACCAAACATATTTTATATTTTTAATTTTATTACAAAAAAAAAATAAAATTTAATTCTGTTTTTTTTATTAAAAAAAATCATAAAAACGAAAACGTTACTAAATACGCCTTAAATTTAATACTTTTGGTTGAAAGTATAAAACACCTTTTCCTTCTTTTTCTCTCTTTTCCTCGTCTGTCTCTCCCTCTCGCCGGTTTCTCTCTTTTGAAACAGAAGCCGAAGTCTCTCTCTGGTTTCTCTCATTTGAACAGAAGCCAAAGATGCAGAAATGGAAGATGAAATTGAAGACGAAGACGAAACCCACTTCTTCTCTCTCGCTCGTTTCCCTCTTTTTCCTTATATATATATATATATATACACACATAGATCTACATCGGTGGTTGTGGTTTCAGTGGTGGTGGGGGTGGGTTTCGGTGGTTGGGGGTGGTCAGTGGGGTGGTTGTGGTGGTAGTTTTCAGTGGTAGGGGTGGATTGTGGGTTTCGGTGGTGGGGTTGGGGGTGGGTTGTGGGTTTCGGTGGTGGTTTTGGGTGGTCAGTGGGGTTGGGGGTGGGTTTTGGTGGTGGGGTTGGGTGGTCAGTGGGGTTGGGGGTGGGTTTTGGTGGTGGGATTGGGTGTTGGTTTTGGGTGGTTATTGGGGTTGGGTGGTGGGGTTTCGGTGGTGATTTTTTTGGTATAATATATTTTTGTTTTCTCAATTTTTTAAATATAAATGACTACTAAATATATTTTATAATTTTAATTTTTATCATAAAAAAATAAAACTTAATTTGTTTTTTTATAAAAGAAAACCATAGAAACAAAACGTTACCAATCACGTCTGATTGTTTACATGTTGTATCTCATCAACTGATTTGTGTTCCTGACATAACCAACTGTTATAAGTAAATACCTATGTGTGTTTGTTTGTTTGCTTGTTTCGACAACACTCAATTCATTTGACAAAGACTTTTCTCAACTATTTGGGGTCTGTTGTATTGATCCTATTTTGCCAAATCATAGGCTATAATCTATAGTTAATGTCAGTCCACTTTGTTTTATTCTTGGTGTAAAACAATATATCTTTAGGAGTTGAATATCATGTTGTAGAATAATGTATATAAAACTTGTCATGATTGATCAGAGAGGACAGATCATTGGAGCCAAAATAATTAAGAGCATTTTTCGTGATGGTTTCGATATGAATTCTCTGGAACAAGAGCTGATATCTCTAAACATAGGGGGGATGACCTCACAGATCCGTGAAATTATTCGCCTTGCATTTGGCTCCCGAATGGTATCACCCGCCACTGCAAAGAGGTAAAATTTGATTTCATAGTCTGCAAACTGTGTTTTTTCCTCTTTCTTGGTGTTGGAAAGCATATGTTAGATACATTTATCTTACTAAACAATGAAGCTTGTGGGACCTCAAATCCCCCTATATGTGAAATATTAAGATCATAATTGTTCAGGCTGAATTTTGTAACAGCATCAGTAGTAGTATTAGCAGTAGAATGAAGTAGTATCAGAATTGTAGAAATATATTAGGGAGACTAAGCTCTTTAGAGAGTTGGACTACAATTTTATTTACTTCACTCTCCTTAAATATTGGCAAGAAAAAATATATTCTATTCTTGTTTTATTGTGTTAGCTTTGGATTGATTGACAACTTAGGAGGTGACAACTACCTAAGAGATTGTAGTTTTCCACTCAAACATTTAGGCATGAGATGCCTTCAGTTTTCAAAATTCATTTTCTTTGGACTTGAAGATCATGGGAGTCGGGGAAGACCCTAAATGGGGTGCTGCATTCAAAAGGTTGTTTTTAGGGTTTTAAATTCTGACATAAACAATTTGCGATGTAGGAATGTAGGTTCGAGTAATCGGCCTTTGTGACTATAATTAGGTCTAGACTTGAGTTTTTTCTTCTGATTTTCCTTGAATGCACTTAATTGCACATGTTTGCTTCTTCTTCCCTGAGTTTCCTCTGCTAGAGAATTGTTTAACAAATTTTTACCAATGCTGTTTACGGATTGTTTAATAAATTTTTACAATGCTTTCTGGTACCATGTTGTCTAAAAGGTCAATCTTCTTTAGTAACCCAAGTTCTTTTGTTAATCATGGAAATTATTCAATTCTAGGTTGAATCTAAAGCACATAAAAGGGATGCTGCTGTATGGTCCACCAGGCTCTGGGAAAACATTGATTGCTCGAAGTATTTGCAAGTTACTAAATGCAAAAGAGCCCCTGGTATCTCTCTCCCTCTCTACCTACTCCTCCTCTCCATCCTCTCTTTCTTACACACACAATAACAATAATAGCCAATGAATTTCAAAATCTTGTCTTACTCTAACTTTTCACTTTTTACCCTTTTAGATTGTACGTGGACCAGAAATCACACAAGAATTGTATGGTGCATCTGAGAGGCATATAAGGGCACTATTTGATGCTGCTGAGAAAGATGAAAAACAATATGGTAAAAATAAGATACTTAATTTTCATAAGAAATTTATTCAATCTTCTTACACATCATACTGAGTTCCTGTTATTCTTTCGTCAGGTTCTAAAAGTGACTTGCATGTCATTATTTTTGATGAGATAGATTCCATTGGAAAGGTAAGCGGACATGTGCAATGATTGTTCTTTTCTAGCCTCATGTGGTCTAGAATTTGTCTTGGATGTAGGTTTCACAATAAGGGAAAGAACTTTTTATTTTGTATGTATAAACAACAAGATGTTTGAAATTTGGTTATGTGCAGAAAAGAGGAGCAGCTGCTGGATCCTTCCATCATGATGATAAGATTGTGAATCAATTGTTAACGATGGTCAGATTCTTAATTTCTTTTCAGGTTTTGCATTTCTTTCTAGTTTTTGTGTCCTAACCTGAGCAGCAATTGATGTAAATGTTTAGATTGATGGCACAACAGAACTGAACAACATCTTTATTATTGCGACAACAAACCGAAAGGACCTCCTCGATGAAGCCCTCCTTAGGTAACTTTCTCTCCTTCCTCTTTTTTTACTTGATTAGAATCAATGGATGAATCCGAGGTAATTTTAATAGGTTTCAAAATTCATTTGACCTGAAAATGTTTGTCTTGCAACACCTTAAGCATAAGACCACCATCCTCTTTCTTCCCTTCCTTTCCCCAATGAACATGTTGGCAAAAATTTATGGATGGCCTGTATTTGAGATTTATGGCTAGGATGCATTATCTATTGAAAAGGGCTATTTCTAAATAATCTTATGTTTTTCCTCTTTCGGTAAATAAAACAATTGAATTGACTGATATACATAATGTACGAAACAGGGGAATCCCAGACAGTCACATAAAGAAAGCTACAGTGTATAATGTCAGGTGTTAACACAAATTTGTAGGACTAACATACATACATTACACTAAACAAATTTGCTCTATAGGAAACATCATAGAACAAACCTAGGCAGGAAAAAAAAGGCCAAGTTATGGTCATTACTTTTGTATACAAAAGCAAGAGTTCTAGCAACTGGCAATCTTGAATCAGAGGCCTGTTGTAATTGAAGGCATTGTCTTTGAGCTTCAGTGATGCATTTCAGGTATGAATCTATTGACAATTCCTTTTTGAATTGTGTATACATCTTTGAACTCTTTTCTAAAAATTCTGTAGTTCATTTCCCTCCATAATGCATTAACTGTTATTGTTGTTTTCATCTGCGTATAATGCCAGTCACTTTTAGATGTTAGGATACTGTGGTTAAATTTTCGTGGCTAAGGCTTGATATATGTGTTTCTGTGCATATCCGCACATATGAAAAAGAGTATAGGATAAGGTATAACGTAAATATTGTTTATAATGGAAATTAGAAATCTATAGGAGCAAGATAGTGGATTATTGAAGAATTCTGCACCTTGAATTATCTGTTCTGTCAAAAGGCTTCCCCCCCCCCCCCCCCCTCAAAAAAAAAAAACCTATTTTTGTTGTGTGCAGTATGTACACTGCAATTAGTTGTGAGGTCTTCTCTTTTACATTGTTGAGTAATATTTGTATTTGTTTTTCTTTTCTATATACCTTCTGGTGATTATTATCTGATAGTATTTATCATTTGCTTCTCTTTGCTTAATCAAGAATATTGCTGTCTACTGTCAACTTGATAAGACTAGACCAACATGAATCTAAGATTAGTAACAAACATTATTTAATTGTTTCTACAAGCATCATTTTAACCTGCTGGTTTGCACCAGATAATTTTTAGTTCATAAGGAAAGGCAATATTGACTTAAAACTTGATTTTCAAAATCATGATTTAGGATGTCATGATTCTACCATCCAATACTGGCAAAGCCATTTGAGTCTCTAAAGGTCCTGGCTAATAGAATCTTTTTGATTCCAATCCCAATTACTATTTTTTATCACCGCAAGTTGTCAGATTTTTTTCTTAGGCAATTGTAGTCATTTACGTTTACCAATCCATATATTAGTGATTGTCCTACACTCTTTTCAGTCCATTAGGTAATTTCATCACAGAAAATGCTCTTCGGTCGTTTATCTCCCTCATTGAAACAAACAGTTAGCTTTGTTCACTTTTCTCTCGACGAGTGATTATGACTAGATATGTTTTCCATTATTATTCTCATTTTTATTTATTCGATATCGAACCATAAAAATTGTTTATTCAAGAGTCGCTCGACTTTACCAATCTCTCCTTTATCCTCATCTCTCTCTCCATGCTAAGATCGAAATACTCCAATTCTCATTTACTCTTCACAGAATCCCACAAGATTAACTACTCATTTTTTTATTTTCAATGCTCTTTAATACTCAGATTATAGGTGCTCAAATTTTAACCGTACTTCTAAGTTCTATATGTTTGTCGTAACATCTCTACATTTTGCATATATACTAGGTTTATTTTGTCTTGATTTCTAAGAATTTTGTATTCGTAAATATATTTTTAGTTCCATTTTTCAGTACGTAAGATCACAGGATTCTCAATCTGATCTTACGATCTCAATCCTTTAGCCTCTTTCATTGATCCAAGGTAGGATCCCCTAGTAGATTATTTGTATCGAAATTTGGAATTGTACTTAGTTATAATCCTACACAAACAAAGTTGCTTTAAAGTTAATGATGAAAAGTCAAATAAGTTTAGTTGTCACTCTTTACCCACTTAACGTATATGCATGTTACCTTTTCTTCAAAAATCACCTAAACAAATAATTATCATGTGACTGATCAATTACGTTGTTTATAAATAATCACTAACTTGGTTCATTATAATTGCTCATAATCCTCCACCCCCAGGCCCAACAAAACAAATATACCCAAAAAGACGAAAAAGGCTCCATCATTCCTTTAATTTTGTTTATTTTTATTCCTAGGGATGGTAGAATCGAACTCCATATCAAGATTGACTATCCTGATGAGCAAGGGCGCAAGCAAATTTTGGATGTTTGCACAAGGAAATGGAAACAAGCTTCTCTCCTTGATATAGATGTTGATCTACAAGAAATAGGTATCTACAAGAAATTGTTGATCTAGATTTTGTTGTACAGAACCCTCGTTCACTAATGAAAACTGTCCATCACTGTTCAATATATATAATGTCTCGGTTCTTGCATACAGCTCGCAGGACCATTGGATATAGTGGTGCTGCACTTGCATCCCTTGTGACACGTTCACTGTCGTATGCTAATGAGAACATGTGACCTTACACCCAGTGAGGCCTGTCAAAATGACCATGAATCATTTTCTCCGTGCTTTAGAATGTGGCAGACTCAAACTTCAGGAGTCTAACCAACTCAGGTGAAGAACTTTAGGAATAGTTTCATATAGTTGAACAATCATTCATATTGAATCTTCCAGTACCAACTTTACATTAATTTTTCAATGAGATAACTTTTCATTCATTGACATCAGGCAGAACACATGTTTAATCTGCGTAGATCTCATAATATCACATATTGAATACATTAGAATAATTTCATCTAGCAGCAAAAGGCTTCACAAGGACATGGATTTTCATTTCATAGACATCTTGGGCATAAAATTCTGCTTATCTAAGTTGCTTTTTCATGTATCAAACCCTGCAAATCGTTCACAAGTATTATAGTTTCTTATAGTTGAACAATCATTTATATTACTTTTTTTAGTACACAGAATGTTTCCAGTACTATACCTTCGTTATCCATGTTACTACAAAAAAATGAAAAATTCAAATACCACTTACTATTTCAAAAATTTTGTAGACCTAAAACATGAAACAGGGCACCAAATTTTGACCACCCTCTTTAACTCATCTCCAGTGACCACATTTACCAGCCTTCCCTTTTCCTGCTGACTTAATTTTTTTGTCTTTGGGATGAAAGTACTTTCAATGAACTGACCAAACCTTTTATTTTAAATTACACGAGGCCCATGTTCAATTTGAACTTGTTTTGAGAAATAGGTTCGTTTTTAAATTTCTATCTTTGGGCATTTGATATCCTTCCTTGAATAATTGGACCTTACAGCTTGTTAAACAAAAAGATTGGAGGAAAATGGATGACCTGATTGCATGATGACTTTGAATTGCTTTCATTTAATATCCTTGCCTACTTAAGGTCCAAGGGAAAATAATTCCACTAGACTGAGGGTGACTAGGTATCAGTTGGATTATCTTGTAGTTAAGGAAAAACATGCTTGCTAAACTTACACGAATTTACTTGTCTAGGAATAAGTGCCCTGTATTATTCTACATAAAATTCATAAACTCTATTATTCTCCTACATAGGTCAAATAAAAGGAAACAAATTCTGCTTTGGAAAGCAAAACTGAGATCGAATTGTCCGAACATTTTTCTTTTGTTCCCACATTTATTCCACATGTTGAACTTGCATATCTCCTTGAGATAACTGCATGCATTAGTTTCATTTCGGGAGAAAAATCCCATAATTTTTGTTTGGAGAATGCAATGGTGGTTCTACTTTTAATCCTGATCAGTTTATTATCTTCTTATCTAAATTTCAGGGTGGAGAAGGCAATGGTTGTTCTACTTTTAATCCTACTTTTAATCCTGATCAGTTTTATTATCTTGTTATCTAAATTTCAGGGTGGAGGAAGAACAAACAGTAAGCACTTGTTTCTTATTTTAAATCAGTAAAGGGCCTTTGAAAAAGTGTTTCTTATTTCATGGAAAATGCTATTTGAACCCTAATTTGGAGACGTAATTCAATATAACCATTGAATTGAAAGTGGATTTCACCTGACATTGGAACTCACAACTAATCTAATGGTTGCATTGAATTAGGTCCAAATTAGGTCCTGTAGCATTGTTCTTTATTTCACTTACATGTATTTCTTGTCGTTTTGCTTTGCAGCCGCAGTTGAGCTCCACCGATATACTAGAATTTCTGAAGGTTGCCCACTCTTTAGCCAAATTCAAGAAGAAAATCGTAAGTTCTCACTAATTGCGATCATCTTTTATAATTGCTTCCTAATAGTGGCTTGAACAATCAATGATGTCATTACAGAAGACAGTTGAGGGTGCCCTCTTTTCTTACGTTCTAACCAATTACAATAATCACTCGTAATTGCCTCATAATTGTGGTTGTAATCTGTAACCGTGTCATTACAGGAGGCACATCCACTTGCAGACCTTGCTTCTTTTGACGAGGATAAGGCCAAGCTCAGTTGTTGAATGCGTTAAGCAGGAACTTGGGAAGTTCAACTGAATCTAGAAATGAGAACTTTTCAACAACTGAGCTTTGTCAATAGGATTCTCTTTTTTCCTTGTACGAGGCTTGTTTTTTTTTTCTTGTATTTCATGTTTTGCTAGTCATGTCACGTAACTTTATGAACGTGTATGTGGAAACTCAAATTGGTGGTTGAGAATTTTAAACATCAACACGTATCTATAAACTCGACAAACAAGATTGAATTTACTGGTTTTGCATTGCTATTAGAAGGTACTTTTAGTAGTCATTTCATTGGGAAATGTGTCCAATCTTTCTAACCCAGGCATTATTTGTTGGCAACCACTTGTGCAATGTGTATTTGATATCTGGGTTGCGGCTGCACTGAACTGAAGCTTGGGGTTTGTGCTTTATGCAAGCCCAGGGTCACCTTGGACTAGCTCAGTGGGCCCCAGTGTAAATGTGATTTGATGAATACAAATATTGTATTTTGTTCAAGAGATTGACAGGAGTTAGACCAAACGAGATTACCTATTGTGGGTGTTCTTTCAGCTTGTACCAATGCTGGGATGATTGATAGGGATTGGCTTATTTTGAGATGATGAAAAAGGAACATAGAATCAAGCCAGTGATTGATCATTATTTGTGTCTGGTTGATATGTTCATTTGGGTGAGGCCGATTAGATGAAGCTTTTGATTTCATCCAGAAGATGAATTTTGAGCCCAGTAAGTTTATATGTGCAAACCTTCATTGCAAGTTGTCGGAGTCATGGGAATTCAGAGTTAGGATTGTATGCAGCTGAATGATTACTCGGTCTTAAACCAAAAGACTAAGAAACTTATCTATTGCTGTTAAAGATGTACCACTTGGCAGGGAGATGGATGCCAGGAATTTTCAAGGGTTATAAAAAATGATGCGAGGGGAAAAACTCTGAAAATTAATGGATTAGCATTAGAGATGAGGTTTATTCAGTTAAGCCTGATGAGCGGTTGCATACACAATGCAAAAGGGTGGACAAATTATTGGGGAATTTGCTTGAGAAAGCAAGGACTCTTGGATATGAACCACATGGAAGTTTAGAGGTAATGAATGAGGAGAATGTAGAAATAACTTTATTCACTGTTCATCATAGTGAAAAGTTGGCTCTTGCGTTTGGGTTGTTGAACACTCCAAATGCTGCCCCTATATGGATTATTAAGAGTATTATGCCATAATTTTATGAAATTCATCTCCATTTTAATTGAAAGGGAATCATCATTCGAGATAGTGAGTGCCTGCACAAATTTGTCAACGGCCAATGTTCATGCATGGATTTTTGCTGTCTTCTTTGATATCATTTGAACCCAAGCCATGAACTGGCTAATTCCTAATGTGGTAATCCTTTCACCTTTTAAGTGGCCATAAAATTTTGTTGTATCTAATTTTTTGATGTTTAGAAAAAAATTTATTCTCTGCCATTACTATTTAGTCAAGTTTATAGACTACAGATGTTTTAGCATTGGGGTTCTGGTGTACGACAAGTGAAAGAATTCATATGGGTCTTGGTTGAATTGAGTTTCTTTAGAAAATTCAAAAAAATGGACAATATAGTCAAAACTGAAACAAGAAGTAGGTCTGGATATTTATATCGTTTTGAGGTTGATCAAAAAAACATAAAGTGGAATATAGTTTTTTTGTAATCAATACAATGATTTATTTTAATTTTGGTAACTGCTCCAGACAACATTTATTTGTGCATTTTTTAGCTTGATAGCTTTATATTCAGTCGGATAATATTTGTAGTGACTAAGGTAATGTTTAGGATAACTATGAGATCCAAAAAATACTTCTTAAGGTAATGTTTAGGATAATTATGAGATCAAAAAAATACTTCTTAAGAAAATATAAGTAATTTAAGGTGGCGGCTTTACCTGGTTTACAATAAATCTTCACAACTGTAAAAAAAAGTGCCGGAGTTGTAGTAGAAACTGCAGCAGGTTATATATATTTACTCATATGAGATGGTGCACTGCAGTGGAGGGAGGGAGGGAGGTACCTCCATTACCAAATGAAATGACAAACATACCCTTCTTAAAAGCAAGGATGGGAAAAAGAATGGTGTGGAATACAATTATATTTTTGTCCTTGGAGTTATAAATTAGCAACAGTAGTTTGAGACAGCTTCCTGTCTTCCACAATATTTTTGACATCAACCCTAGACTATTATTACTGTTTTTATCTTCTTTCCCTAGCTAGCTTGTATCTCTCACTCCACACTCACAGTCATTATTCCTGCATAGGAAATAGAATGAGAGTCATTGTTCTCAAAGAAGGAAAAACCTATACAAATTTGGGTCTCATTTCTGCAGAAGATATTGTCAATTTTGTTGTCATGATGATATTCAACTTAAGGACTTTCGTTGGATCCAATAAGCACTCTATGGTAAACATTGAATGATATGTTGGTTGTGCCCCTACTATATCTTTTAATAGTAACTTTTAACTTGAAGTTGGTATTTGTGTGTGAAGAATATAAAATCAGAGTGTATAGTATATAAACATAAATCATGTTTAATTAAGTTAATGTCCTATACAATTAAATTTGTATCAATTTATTTATCAAAAAAGTTTAACGGGTTAACTCGCTTGTGACCCAAATCCAATAAAACTAATAAATATATGGTATTTTCACTACAAATTTGACTGATCATGTTAAGAATTTTCACATCCAATTTGAATGTAGGGCCATATCTAAACTTTGATCATGTTATTATCAAATATGAGTAAATCCTAAATTGACGAAAAATTGAAAAAAAAAAATAATGGGTACATGAATCTTATATGGTATAGGGAAAAAGAAAAATATAAAATCAGTAGGAGATTGGTATCTTTACAAATTTTTTTTTACTGTTATACATGTTTTCCATGAGATTTTAAGGCAAATGGGTTTATTCCTTCACATAGAAAATTTAATTCTTAAAAATAAAAGAGTAATGTTTTTTGAACTTAAATTTTAATCTAATTTATTAATATAATAATGTAGTTTCAGTAGAATTATTTGATTAACACCAAGTTTTAATATTTGATAGACCCCACAGTCAATCCAAAAGTTATAGTGAATTAAATCAACAAATTAGATCAATAAATAAGGTTTCAAAAGCATTGTTCAAAATTAAAAGGGTTGACAATTGTAAAAAAAATTTGGTGCCCAATTATCAATTGTCACAATATTAGCTTGGGGGACAAAAAAATATATTTTTTTATTAAAAAAATTGACCAAATAATAAATGACAGTCATATATTCAGATTGTGTAATCTATTATAATAATAAGATAGAGTAATTTTTGAATCCCTAAATTACTTTACCACAAAGACAGTTTAAATTTGATCTATTTTAATTTTAACGATTTATATTTCATCTAATTTAATCTAATTACTCGTAAATTCATCTACTTTTAATCCAACAAAAAACAAATCCCGCCCAAATCTTAAACCACATGCACGTCCCCCCACCCCACTGTCAGAGCCCCTCTATCTCTTCACCTGTCTCTCTGTCTCCACACCCGTTGCGACTTCTGTACCTCTCCACACCCTGCTCTCTCTCTCTCTCTCCATACTTACTAAAATATCTGCCTTGGCTCACCGGCGACGACCACACATTACAGGTTAGCTACTCTCTCTCTATGTCTCTCTCACCTCTCTTTCTTCACACACACACACACACACACAAACAAACCCACAACACAAAACACACAGATCACGCAGAAACCCACAACACGGGCACACAGATAACGCACACACAACACAAAACACACAGAGAGACAAACAGACCACACACACATCCCACAGCAGCACGCACACACGCAAATTAATTTGGATTTTTGAATGTTAGGGTTTTCAAATTGTGTGTTTAATTTGGGTGTTGAATAGAGATTGTGAAATTTCAAATTGGTTTTTTTTTTTTAAATTATGAAATAGGGTTATAGTGTCCTGATTGGATGAATGTTAAGAGTTATTTAGATTAAGATTGTGTATTAATTTATTTTACTTCCACAATTTTAGAGATTGTGTGTCAATTAGTGTGAAATAGACTTATAGGGTCTTCATTTGATGTATGTTAGGGTTATTTAGATTAAGATTGTGTGTTAATTGAATGTTATGTGTTAATTTCATTCAATAAGATTTGTAGGGTTTTTGGATGTTAGGGTTTTTGTTAATCGCATGGAATGGATGTTGAGTTGATGGTTATTGAGGGTTCATTTTGGAAAATTTGTTGACTAATTTTTTCAAATTGGGTTATTAATTTTGGTGTTAAATAAGGTTTAGAAATTTCAAATTGGTTTTTTTTTTAATTATGAAATAGGTGTATAGGGTCTTGATTTGATGAATGTTTGGGTTATTGAGATTAACATTGTGTGTTAATTGATTTTACTTTCATAATTTCAAAGATTGTGTATTAATTGATATGAAATATGTTTATAAGGTCTTGATTTGATGTATGTTATGGTTATTTAGATTAAGATTGTGTGTCAATTGAAGTTTACGTGTTAAGTTCATTCAATAAGATTTTTATTTTTTTTGGATGTTAGGGTTTTTGTTAATTGCATTGAATGGATGTTGAATGTTCATTTTATAAAATTTGTAGGCTAATTGTAGTTGTTGAATTTTTTGATAGTAATTGAAAATTATTTAGTAAGAAATTGAATGTTAAGGTTTTTAAATTGGTTTTCCTTTCATGAAATAGGGTTTTTGAATTGAAATATGAAATTGGGTTTTTTTGAAAGAGTTTTATATGGTTTTGATTGAATATATTTTAAAAGGTTATTTTGATTGAGATTCTGTGACGAAGATTGTGTGTTTGAGTTATTAGCGTTTTGATTGAATCTATGTTATGTTTTTTATGAAAGAGATTTGTAAGGTTGACATTTGATGCTTATTCATTTGGGTTTAGATTGCTTTGGATTGTGCAATAGATGTATCAAAGGTTGTCCAAGTCCCTCTCTTTGTGCTTCTCTAATATCTACT